TAATTCCCACCTCAGTAGCAGTACCCCCCCACCCCCTCCCCCACCTCGCCCTCGCGCCCAAAGCTCTGAATCGATTCCTGGCAGGCGTTCAAAAGCTACCCCCTACCCTGTGCTCCCGGGGGGGATGCAGAGGGTAGCGACAAGCGTGTTTGCCCGCACCCAGATTACTGGCCCAACTCCTCCTACACCGAAAAAAAATTGTCTTACAACAAAAACTATCGGAAATTATGATGGATTTATTTCTCTCCTTCTTCAACAACCGTCCGTGGCATGACCCAATTTCGTCTGGCAATTTCAGACGAAAGTATATGAAGGGCTGACAGAGAAACCCGTATGGTAGTAAAAATAAATTAAATTAGCCATGATGAAAATTCTCAATTTGAACCTTCTTTTTACAATGTCGGTCCAATTTATACTGGCTTGTATCGGAGAGAGGTTCGCGCCTCGTCGGTTCTTTTCTACTACTTCTCGACGCTTTTCTCTCTTTCAGCCCGCGTAGCAAAAATATATGCACTGTACTGTACACATGTCCTCCTGGAACAGGGTATACACGAAGTTGTATGTCGTCGGCAAACTCGGACTTTTCCCTTCCCCACGCGTGGCGTACAGTCCTCGCCAAAAGTAGTGTACAGCCCGCTCGCGGCGCGTTACCGTTACTACTGCAGCCGAACGTGTGGTGGGCCGCGTCCTGCCCGGGGAGCGGGACTGTACCTGCATCCCCCGCAGACGCGACGGGCAGTTCTTGTCACGCGTGACGTTTTGCCAATATAGTACTCGGCAAGTGCGCGTGCCGTCACGGCGACCGTCACTCCGCCGTTGGGCCGAGAACGCGCGCACCTGCGCCGCCAGCAAGAGGTATACTTCACATTAAAAAAAACAAAAAACAGAATACTCAAAAACAAATTTAAAAAATATACTTTTCTAAAAATTAAAACTTAAGAAATAAAAACAGAGAAATTTGTGTACGTATTCGTACGTAGCGTATACGCTTCTATTCATGGTACGGTGTACCACCGTACCCCTCGGCCGCCGGTCAGTTCGAAATACACATTCGTGTCGGACACGTCTGGGCACCCTCTGGCCGCTTCTGGCCCAAGATCGGCGTGCGCCCACGACATCGACGACGACGACGACGTTGACGTGCCTGAAGGGGCTTAATGCGCACCCGTGAGTCAGTCCCTCCACCTGGTCCTGGTGACGGCCCCGCGGCGGCGGCGCCAAGAGAGCGCACCCCGCCGACGCGACACGGTCAGCCTTGGCTTCGACTTCACCGAGATATAGTTTATTCTTGAACTTTTTTGATTCACGTCGATGAAAGCAAGAAAATCTTTCGGTGCGAGCAGCTCGCGTGCGCGAGCTTCGGCGGCGTGCTGCTTCGGCTTTTGCTTTCCGGCACCACCGAATAACTTTCGTTCTGGGCTTCTTCTTGGTTCGGGCTGGCCATGAAAATGTTGCCGCTCACCGACCGCCGTGAGAACCGAAAAGTTGCGCTCGATTGACGCGCGGCTGTGTATCCTCGAATCCATCCTGCGCTGTAGGGGTTGCGGGGAGAGGGAGGAGGGCGCCCGCTCTGCGCACAGCCACGGCGGCGGCGCCCTTGGCCCTCGAGGCCCTCTCATGCTGGCGTGCCCCGCAAAGCCGTGATGGTCACGCTACCGTTACGCCCAGCAGAGCGCCGCACCACAGGGGCGTGCCAAAAGCCCCCC